TGCATTTTTTGTATTTATTTTTCTGGGCCTATTATTTTATTTCAACATTTTTTTTAATTTCAGTATTTCTCCTTTACGATAATGTGCGGGGCTATATACTGGTCTTTCCTGCTTCACCAGTATTTTGCTGACCAGTAGTAAAAAGTTGGGTTAATATTTTCTTAAAGTCAATCATTCTGCTGTACTGGAACACACTAATATTAAACAGACTGGAAAACCGGGTTAATGCTGACGGTGATTATGGGAATACATTTTTGGATAAAATAGTTATATTACTGTTTATGTTAGGCTCCGGTGGAACTGTCATGGTACTGTTAATATCTCACTGGAGTTTATGATACAGCCAGTGTTTCACACCGTTGCCCCTTAAGCACAGCAAACTGAATTTTACAAACTATTTGGGCGTCTGTCAGATTTGTTTCAGTTCCATGGAAAGGCCCTTTAACGCCATTTCCCGCACAACCACCCTCCGCTACACTCCCACCTGCCATACCACACTCATTGCGACATACATCCAACGCACCCTTCCTCATGTGGCGGCCTATTAAAGCCGGAACTCCCACTGACAATGCAGCCAAACCTTGTGCAAACACCTTAAGTTTCAAACTTGACCCGGCAACAGCTTCACTCTCATGATCGTGCAGGGAGGCCCCGCGGAGGGTGTTGTCCGTCCGCCCGCTTCTGCCACTGGCCGTGTTATGACATTCAACCTTAGGCGCTTGCTCTTGTCAGCTCTCAGACGCGCACTCAAGGCCGAGGTTGGAGTCCTGTCGTCCATGCTGTCCGCGTCTCCGCTGGGATCACACCGACTCGTGGGGTCCTTGTCGGCCGAGGTGCAGGGGATCACTTCACATAAGTAAGGCTGGAGGCCGCTGGTTGTTTTCTCAGTTCACGGTTTGCTGCAGGTGTGCAGACACGATTTGTCCCTGTTTGAGTGTCTGTTTGTGGTCGTGTTCAGATGTGCTGGCTGTTGTATTCCTTGTCTTGGTCTTTTCATGCGGATCCCTTCTTCTTGTAGCATTTTATGTGGTGGTTTGGGCATTTTGATCAAAGTACAAACTGCTCTGTAAACAGGAGAAACCACCACAATAAACCTGTGATGTGTGTTCTATATTTTTATTTAATGTCCTTGTGTGAGTACATCTTTAGGACTACAACTAACAATTATCTACATTATTCATTATTGTCGAATCTTCTTCGTAATTAATGAATCGTTTGCTGTATAGAACATCCCAGTTTCCCAGAGTTCAAATCAGCAAACTAGAGAACTGTAACCATCAGATTTTTGGTAATTTTTGCTTGAAAACCAACATTAACCAATTATCAAAATAGTTGCTGGTTTATTTTCTGTTGACTGACAAACCTGGTAACAATCAGTCGATTAACAGGTCGGTCAGGGCTGTTCTGCTTTTAAACATATTTAAAAGGCCCAGTTGTGATGAAGGTTTAGTTTAGTAGCCAAAGTATATAAACTGTGCATCTGTAGCCAATAATGCAGGAAAAAATAACAAATGAAATGAAAAATATTATTTATATAATATTAATTTATGAATATATTTACTCCTCATTTCATAACTACATGCATAACATTAACAACATTAACATTAATATAAAATAGCTAAAAGATAAATGTTGAGCTTAAGTAAAAGATAAAAGTACACATCAGTCATTTCACACAAATGACAAAAAAATTTCATTTACCTTTTTTAAACATTGTGGGTTTCATTTATCTGTTATTAAACCCAGTTTAAAGTCTGTTGTCTGGTTTTGTCTGTTTCACTGCAATATGTGAATTCAGCTAACATTTCTTTCAAGAATCAGCAGCCCAGTTACTCCACCCAGTTCACAGAACCCAATGTCTTGAGGCATGGCATTATATGATTATTATATTATCTGCACCGTCTTGTTAGGATGTTAAGTTTCTTGTTTCACTTTCCGCAGCAGTAAGAGTAAAGCTGGATTTGTGGGTTCTGCAGGTGACTGTTTTCTGTTTGCTCCTCTACTTACAGCAGACGTCTTAATTTTCAACCATGTTTACTTACTGCTTTACTTGTTTTTGATTCCACATGATAATTGCTACTGGAAATATGAATGAATATGACTCAAACTAATAAATTAACCTTAACCTAAAAAGCATACAGGCCTTTTCAGAATAACATAACACTTTTCTTTTAAAGAAGTATAGAATAGGGCAGAGAGAGGTTAAATCGTAGTATCTGGAAAGAAACAAACATGTCCTTCTTGGCACGCCTGTGATTCAATCGTTTGCTTTTTGGTCAGCTGTCACTTTAGAGCTAATCTTTAAAGCTACTATCAAGCCTCGCTTTTTGTTTGAAAAATGTGTCTTAATATCCACTTTTAGGGAAAAAACTGTGTCAGGTGAAAGAGACCAGTAGATGCTGATGTTCTAAAAGTTGGTTATTGTAGTGTAACCTGCTTATTTGGGCCACTTTAAGCATAGTCAACAGTTGGCGCAACAGCAGTGGTTGTGTCCATTGACAGTATATATAATGGAGGCAGTTAAGGTCATTTAAGACCCCTTACGCCTGATGGCCACAATTATGTGTCAAAAATCATAACTCGGTCAAATCTGAACACCCTGTCCTGATGCACATATTTTCTTTCCAATAACTCCATACATTTGTGAGAATCTTTTATTTTATTTTTTAAATTATGCTCTTTATAAATCTAGAACTTGTGTCAGAGAGTAAGTTTTCTTCAGTATCAAAGCAACCCAGTGATTGGTCCATTGGACCTGCTAATAGCTAATTATACATACTTTTAATAACTAAGTCACTGACTCCATTGCAATTAATTTTTCTTTTATATCCCCAATATGTTCTCACCAGTTCTAATCCTGCCTTTCTTTTCCTTTTTAGAGAACTGGTCAAGAGTCAGTGTCATCAGAAGAAGCATTTGTTCCACTCCTGGTTCCAGTTCTTGGTCCTGTTTTGTCTTGTGCTCTTCGTCTTATGTTACACTCTATCCAACAGCTCTCAGCCATGGTTGGCGAGCCTTCCACTCCATAAGCACTACCAGCGGATTTTCAATCGGACCAATAAGGTTTTTCAACCTCCGGCTTATCGTGTCCATCCGAAACACAGAGTTAAACTAAATGGAATTCCTGAAACCACAGAAATCCCTACTGTATCACCTACAGGTATTCAGTACCACCAAGCCTATGCACGCAACTACCACTTTATTATGGATAACGAAGAGGTGTGCAAGACCAAGATCCCTTTCCTGGTCCTGATGGTTCCAGTGGCACCACATAACGTGCAAGCTCGGGACGCCATCCGGGAGACATGGGGCAAACGCAGTGTGGTTCAGGGTGAGGTGGTGCTTACTCTGTTCTTGTTGGGCTCTTCTGGGGGAGCTAATGTTGAGCAGCAGCAGGAGAAGCTCATACAGGAGAATCTGCAGCACCATGATCTGATCCAGAGTGACTTCATGGACACTTACCTCAATCTGACCATCAAAACCATGGTGATCATGGACTGGCTGGCCACACACTGTCGTACAGCAGCATACGCCATGAAGATTGACTCAGACATGTTCCTAAACATTGACAATTTAGTGATCATGCTACAAAAGCCAGGCATCCCCAAGATGAACTACCTGACAGGGTTGCTGATGTGGAACAGGCCAGTCGTGCGTTCAAAGGACTCCAAGTGGTACGTTCCTGAGGAGATGTACCCAGAAGCCACATACCCAACCTACACTCTGGGCATGGGATATATCTTCTCCAACGATCTTCCAGAGAAATTTGTGGGGATCTCAAAATCAATCAAACCCTTTAATATAGAGGATGCTTACATTGGAATGTGTATAAAAAAACTAGGATATGCACCTACATCACCGCCAAATCCCTCCCAGTTCAGGGCCTACAACACAAGATACGATCGCTGTGAATACTCTAAAATCATCACCTACATTCTTGGATCACCACAAGAGTTGGTGAAATACTGGACAGACTTAAAGAAGCCTGGACCACCTTGTTAAGACGATTACAACTACAGATGGACTGAGAAATCACTTGGGTGGCAGGGAATTGGGAGGGTAACTTATTATATATATATATTTTATATCTGCTTTATATCTGCTGTTCTGGTATATAATTACCATACCATCATTTAAAAAATGAGAATTGGATTACCCTTTTGGAAAGGCTACAAAGGTTTCTGAATAACTGCGGTCTAGAACCGGTGAAAATATATATTTTTTTAAAAACTCTTTAGGGTTGCCAATGGAAAAAATATGAAGGGAATGTTTATTTGTTCTTATGTGAAGTGAAGTGGAAATGTGTGACTGAAATTGAAGGTACCCTGAGGAGCTTTTGACCATTAATGTCGCTGTACAGCAAGGGTTTGATGAGCAGTTAATCTACTGTTGTATATCTTGGTTGTACCTACGTTTACAAAGGCAGACATGAATGCCTCAACCACTGTAGTGCCTACACTTTCTATGAACTGCATGTTGCTGCATGGAGAAAGGAAGACTACTTGAAGAAAAGGAAACAAGCCATTGACCCCTGGCAGAGAGGTGTAAAAGTTATTATTTTACTGTTTATTTAGCAAATTAATGAAACATTTTCAAATTAAACTATTAAAGCAGCCAAACTATTAAATGCATGTGAAATTAATTTGTACAACATGTCACAAAAACATGTAATATTCATAAAACAATGCACATTTTACTACATTGTTTTTGATTTGAATGAGGTGAGTGACCTTACATTTGCACTAATATCCTGGTTGTAATTTATTTTTTATTTTTTTTCAGCAGAATGACAATTATGTGTTGCGCAATCAGTTTGTCAACCTGGACTTTGCATGATAACCCCAAGATAAATCTGAGTAGGTTAAACTCTTTGTAGTACAGCCCCCTGGTTTCAGAAACCTTGACAGTGCTTGTAGTACTGCATCCACTTTTCTGAGCATTCTCTGTTGGTAGGGAAATGAGAGGCTGTGTTTAGCAATCAAAGCACACCAATATTATACAATGCTGGAATGTGGACAGCAAAGTTTCTCATGTTCCATATAAACACATATGATCAAACCCAGGATAAGGCTTATAGCCTGAGATGCTTAAACGCTCTCTGGATAATTTTAAATTATAGCAACCACAAACTCTTATGCTGTACATGTGGGTACGGCAGTAGCTATAGGATGAAGATAGACCTGAACCCTAGTAGTATAATAGTTCAACCCTGCTGAAGTTTACTTTGGCGTGTGTAAGTGTATACACATATTTGCAGGTCTAACCTGCAGTTTAGTCTGTTTTGATTCGCATATCTTGGGGGATATATTTATACTGAAGGAGGTTGCAGTATGAGAGCAGTGAGAAGTAATTTATTGTTACATTTTTGTTGAATGAACAAAAAGCACTTTACGCATTACCAAACAAAAGAAAAAATTTTGTTTTTTTTTACACAGAGGTCTAATTGCCCTGTTTGTGTTGTAACCATAAATCGTAGTTTACCCTCATACTGTTCAACTTCAATGTGGGTGGGGTGTAATGGTATTTATATAGTGCTCCGAACTTGAATTGGAGTGGGCAGAAGAAATATTTTCATGGATGCAAACCAGAAATCCCTAACATAGATGTGTCTTGTTATGATTGATGCGGGCAGAGTACAAATGGCTCAGACCATACAGGTACAAAGAAATGTACGTCCCTTATCATTCGTGCAGATCATCAAATACTTTGGATCCTTTGTAATAACTGAATGAAAGAATGTTGAGAATGGCAGATACTTGTTTGACTTTTAAGGCCAAACTTCCTATTTATACTTCTGAAAGTCCTTTGGGTTCATTTAAAATGTTGAAGAACATTCAGAGACATGGTATGCTGATATAGTGAGTTTATGTAACGTGTGCCAAAGGGCAGGTGATGACTTATCACTGAATAACGACAATAAGGGCACTGGCAGCCACCATATCTAAACTGACTGTCACGGGTAGCTTGTGACGTGCCACTTAAAGGCACATGCAGATCATTGTGTCAGGAAAATGTGAGAATAAATGTTTTGCCCTCATGATTGAATGCACGTCGACAGAGACAAACAACAGCATTTTGCTTTGTTCAACAGGACAGTAGAAAGAGACAGGACTTTAACATACATATATATCTTTTTTTTTTACTTTACTGTACACTGCATTTATGAAATGATATAATTTTAAAGGTTACAAGGTGTGATTGTGTTATTGTCTTTTTAAAACTGTACATTTCCTTCTATAGTAAAGGTAAAAATACTTTGGAAGCGGGAAGTTGGTTAACTGTTATTGAAAAAGGAGACAAGCTACAACACTACTGGTTCTATATTACATTGTAAACCGTGTGAATCAGACCTAATGGGAATTTGCAATGAGTTGCTTGCACATGCTATAAATACAATCTACATTGATTTTGTTTTTGTTTGCTTTTTCTTTTTTGTCATGTATGATGTGGGAAACTGTTCTTCTAATCAATCTTCACTTTACTGAATAAAAGAATAACTTGATGAACCTCAGTTGTATACAGAATCCTGTATTATCGTGCCACCAGGGAGGATGCAAAACAATGTGTCTAACCATCTGACAATGTTGTTTATCATTCAGTATTATCAGGGGAGACTGGAACATCCACAAGGTCTATATTTATCTTAACCTCTGGGCACCCAAAGCCTCTTAACAAACTGTATGCCGTTGTTATTTTCTCATGATTCATCAATTCATCAGGGTGTACTGTTTCACCTCCTGTTTGTGGACAGGATATCAAGTTTCATTCAAGGTCTAAAGTGTCTTATACGGTCTCTCTTAAATTGCACCGGTGCCTTTTGTGGATAATGTTGCCTTTGTGCCATGTTTGAATTACACAACAGTTTTACAAACAGTTGGGTGTCATGTGGATGAGAAAGCCAGCTTTAGTTTTAGTAATGAGGGGTTTGTGGCACAATGCTGCAGTTCAAGTTTATTTTATTATATTTATTTTGTTTGTTAAGAATCCTTGGTCTAATCTGGAAATGTGTTTGGGATTAGGATTAGTATTAAAGTGTTTTAACATTTATTGACCTAACCCTAACCGGATCCTATCCACATTGTATTGGTGACCAGTCAAAACATTAATTTAAGATGTATTTAAGTAAGTTAAATTAGTTAGTTGGCATGGAGACACACACAAATTATTTTTGTTCTTTATCTTATTCTCTACATTTATCGAATACTTACTTACACACCTACAGAGGACTCTGGTGGGCTCTAGTTCAGGTGCACATGACAACAAATATTTCCGCTTTCTAGATAAATCTATTGAGAAATACGTTTGGAGTCAAGTCCCAACTTTTGATGTTTTTTTTAAATTTAGCATTTTGTGCAAAAGGGAAAAAAGAATCAAAGAAAAAACAAGAAAAACTAGAGACAAAGACAAAATTGGGGTGTGAATGCTGGATTTTTGAAGACTGACTGCATTTCTGGCTTTAAAAGTTTAATAATAATTGAAGGTTTGTTGGCAAGGTAACAGTAAACTTATTTAGGGTTGAGGTTAGGGTTAGCCTTGAATTCTTATGATTGGGTGACAGCATTCACTCCAATTTCAGACTTATAAAACAATCTAATTATTTAACTATAGAGTAAAGGATAGGATTTGTAGCCCACATCAGCAGACAATAGCCCATTTTTTTCTCTGGTTTACATTTACAGCAGACTTAGGCTCTTGGTATTTCAGCTGCAAAAGTCTATTTAACGCATTTCTTACCAACAATTAACTGCTTTAACTTAACACAACTAATTAAACTCTGATAACTAACTATCTATTATGCAAATGAACACAATAAGGACTGTAACTCAATCAACATAATATAGTTAGTTGGTCTTGCAACAGTTCCAGAAAGCAGTAAGGGGGTAAAAAAAAAAAAGATCTTGTTTTAATGTCAATAAAACAATGACTAATCCTCACATCCTATTGTTGCCTCGGGTTTCACTGGGCTTTTCCCAGGAACTTCTAACAGGTTCAGGCAGATTCATGAAGCTGAACTGGCAGTTCAACGAGGAGGAAGTGGGGAACTGGTGCCTGAGGTGGGCGGGGCTTAGTCTCAGGTAAAGGTGAGCTGTACAATAGCCGCCGTCTCTGGTTTCCTCCGTGAAACCTGCCTTGATATGGTCTGACAAGAAGTGTTTTTTTTATTAAGAAGCGACGCACGGAACTAAAAAAGGTAAGTTACGGTAAAGAAAAAAACAATATACCACAATGCATGCCGGTTAGATTTGTGTCCAGCTTTTTGTCACCGCCTCCTGCCGCCACCTGGTCTCGTCCACTTTCCAGGCGACATGTACCGGACGTCAGGCCCATGGTGACCTCTGCCCATTGAGTACAGGGACAGTATTTGTTTGAATACACAGCATCAGTCACTCTGCAGACACTTAGAAAGTTTAAAATATTAAAATAGTTATTGAGCACTTCAGCTGGTAGTGCACTTTTATTCTAAATATCTTGCATGTTGTCTAGAGAAATGAGTTTCCTCTGCTGTATAGAATAATACCCTAAATAGATTAGCCTAATATACATTTTTAAACTGCATGTTCATGTTTATTTTAATTAAAAGAGGGACAATGCACATTAATTAACACGGGCACTCGGGGTCCATCATGTAAAAAGGGCCAGATTCTGCACAGGAGGAGCTATTGCATGAGGCTGGTTCCTGATAAACTGCGCCTCGCCTGGAAAGTGGCAGAGATCAGGAGGCAACAGCAGGAAGAGGAGGAAGAGGAAGAGGAGGGGGTGACAAAAAGCTGCGATCTTGTCAGTTTCCAGCAACCTTCAAAGAATTAACAGGAAGTCACACGAATATTTGCTTACTGTTTGGATCTGTAGTTTGCAGATTCGTGTATGGATAAAACAAAACTTTATTATTAGGATTATTATAAATCGATCTGTTTAACAGATTAAAACTTCACCGCACAACATGACACACAGCCACGATTTAAAGTTAAAATATAAAAAATCACGCAGAACATCAGGAAAACGTGGTGTTTGTTGTCAAAACTAGGAGCCAATCAGCTCTTTGATCAGGCGACAGCCAGCGTCTCCCATCATGCTCTGGGTCGACGGCGACTGGTGCTATAAACTGCGGCCGCCTCGATCTGGTGAGGTTGTCGATGCCCACGTGTGCATGACGTCGGAGCACGTCGGCGTCAAGTCGGACAGCAGTCTAACCAGCATGCATTGTGCGCAGGCTCATGTCGAACATGAACAGGATGCAAGTGCCTTATTTCCCTGTTCACTGCCAGGGGCTTGGTGGAGTGCTGGTGAGGCTGAGTTTGCACTGTTAGACATTTATGTTTCCGTATGGCTCTCATATGTCACACACACATAGGGTTAGGGATAGCAGTAAGTAGCTGTACAGTTAGACAATGAAAAGTAAAAGAAAAAGAAGAAGTTGTTTCCAGGTCACTTCCTTAAAGTGAGCAGCATGGCAGCTTCGCTTCAGACGAAAGAAATGTGGGTTTTGTTGACATAGCGGAGGATTTTGGCCTGAGGGAGCTTGTCATCCAGTATCGCTCTGATTTACATTCAGGTGTACATGTGCAGGATCGGACCTGGTGTCACACTGCAATGCTTTATGGGTACCGACTGAAGTGTGAGTGTTGTACTGAAACGTAGCGTTTAAACTTTAAAACTTTCCAGTTGTTTTGAAAAATGGCCTTATTGAATAAACCTGATGTATTTCTCAAAATAGCATATTGAATATTGAAAAGGATGTTATTGGTATAAAACTAAATTCTGGTGTTGGACGTAGTATCAAAACATTTAAAATGATACTGATTAGCTTTCATATGGAGCAACATTTTCTGACTGCTTTTGTAATTTCAATTTTAAAGCACAAAAATCTAGTTTTTTAATCAAATAAGATAGATTGTGTGTTGCTGTTTTATCATTATTATACCTGCTGAGAATAGTGCTGCTATCATGTGATAATGTGTCTCTCTTCTCTGTGTAGTTTTAATGGGGAACGGGTGGAGACGCTTCAAGCACATCTTTATCTGCTTCCTGGGAGGAGCATTACTCTTGCTTATATATCTCAACATTGACTGGAAGTCGGGGAACTTGGATGATCCCGGGCCGTATTATGTGGCCTATCCACGAAACTACAAGTTCATCATGGATGACACGCCAACGTGTAAGAGCACAACTCCTTTCCTGGTCCTGATGGTTCCGGTTGCACCCGGGGACGTGGCAGCTCGGGACGCCATCCGACAGACGTGGGGAAATGAGAAACTGGTTCTGGGTCAGCTGGTCGAGACGCTCTTCATCCTGGGCCTACCTGGGGGAGCTGATGCAGAGCAGCAGCAGGAGAAGCTCATACAGGAGAACCTGCAGCACCATGACCTGATCCAGAGTGACTTTCAGGACAGCTACCGCAATCTGACCATCAAGACTATGATGATGCTGGAGTGGCTGGTTGCGCACTGTGTGAAGGCTTCCTATGTCATAAAGATTGACTCAGATATGTTACTCCATGTCAAGAATTTGGTTAAACTGTTGCTGGATCCCAGCACTGCCAAACAAAGCTACATGACAGGTTTGGTGTGGTGGCACAGCCCAGTTTTAAGAAACCCATTCAACAAATTTTACATGCCGAGAAATGTGATTGCTGAGCCAGAATACCCTCCCTATCCTCTGGGCATGTCCTACGTCATGTCCATGGACCTGTCTGCGAAGATCCTGGGAGTCTCTCCTCAGATTAAACCTCTCTACATCGAAGACGTCTACCTGGGTATGTGCCTAAAACGCCTGGGCATTTCCCCCACCGACCCTCCTGAAAGTACTATGTTTATTGTCGACCCGCAGCATCCTCTGAGCGGCTGCAGCCTTTCGAAAGTGATCGCTGTTACAACAACAAGCATCCCGCAGATGACGAGTTACTGGGAGAGGAGCAGGCAGCCAGAGGCGAAGTGTTGAACTTTGTCAGGTTTACCAAGACTGAGTGACTTTTGAGTTTTTGATGGCGGGGTGATACTGTCGTAACCTGAATCTGACATATATTTTAAATAAATTGAAATAGAGCATATTTTGTTATGTGTTTGCAGACAACTTGGAAGCACCTGCGTTCTGGGTTGGACAGAAGCATGTCTTTTGGTATAAAAAAAAACAAAACATATTTAAGGATTTGAACCCAAATCGACTTCCTGAGCTGTATCAGCTCTCACACTAACAGACTGATTCTCTACATGTTTTACATACAAGCATAATGTTGTTCTTCCTTTTTAAACGTCCATTGTGTAATATTTAAGAAGATATTTTGGCAGAAATGGAATATAATATTCATAGGTATATTGTCAGTTGTGTATTATCACCTGAATATAGGAATCTGAATATGTTTTTGTTACCTTTAGAATGAGACATTTTTATCTGCCTGACGCCGCAGGTCGCCTTAAACTTATTTTTCTAATTTCCTTAGCACATGTCTTACTTTATGCAACCCTCTTGCACTCGTGTCAGCTAGAATTTGAAAGTGAATGTTCTGGCACCTTTTGTTTATAGTTTCTCCTTTACCTACTGTAGCTTGGATTGTAGGGGTCCAGGCGCCACAGAACCAGGGCCTAAGACCCTTTACAGTTCTTTGACTATTTTGTTTTCATGTGTGGGTGATGATTGCTTTCTGTGACTGAATTGTCTTGGGATGTTGTGTATATGTATTTTTTTTCTCACGTTCATGTTGTTGTAGATCTTTATCTCAATCTCTGTCTTGAGACTGATTAAATGAAACTAAATGAATGTAAAAACATGTTTGGTGTAGCCCATCGACATATAAAACATGGACGTCACACCTCCACTTCCACCGACTGTACAAAAATGAAGCCAAAATATCCCAGATACAGCCACTGACATCTTTCACCATTCAGATCTCTAAATCTTTAAAATACCATAAACCATCTTTGAAAAAAATTTATTTGACGTGTACTTTTTAGTTTGGCTCATGTTCCATCTGCTAAAATGGAGGCAACAGGCTTTACGAGCTGTGCTGCAGTCAGCCACCAGAGGGCGATCAAGATGTTTTGGCTTTACTTTTGCAGCACTGTCATGTTGTCCATCTTCATATATGTCGATGGTGTATCCAAATTTTAATATGCCGAAGTCCGTATTCTTCAAAATACAAAAAATGTCCTCAAGGATTCAATCATGTTGTGTTTTGCTGACCGACTGCTACAAAGTATACTGTCACACCCTGTTACAAGTCAAATGATACCACTCATGTCACTTAATGAGTTAAAGGTGTAATATGATTGGCATTTCTCAACTGTGATGTGATGTGTTATGTATTGGCAATTTAATGCTATACTATAAAGATATAAGATTGTAAAGAAGTTAATTTACTTTGTAATCAAACACAGCACTGGAGTTAATCTTCAAGCTTCTACAGTTGTAGTAACTCCTCACACCAGAAGAGGGCAGGCTAACAGCACATAAAATCTACTGGATCAAATTCTCAGGATTTCCCAGGAACAGTTGTGTCCATGTGTTGCAGTTGCCTTCAAAAATAACATATCCATCATTGTAAACACGTTTAGGATGTAGATCCTTTTTGAATAATGTGTAAACTCATACTGGAACTGATAAAACCACACCTTACTTTACTTATTCTACTATGAATGAGAGTGTTTTAGTTTTTACTACGTTGATCAGTGTTGCTATAGAAAGAGCCCTTCTCATGACTATTCCTTGATGAGAGCAACTACTGTAAAGATTTTTTTCCTGCGTCCCACTTTCAATTTCCCATGATAGTCAGATTTAGCCCAGCTCAGTAGAGGCAATACAGAGAAATAAGGTACCATATAGTTAAATAACAAAATCATGCAGCTTGTGGTGACAAAGCCCCTCCAAACAGATACAAAACTGATTAAACACCGCTTTATTTCAAAGAGAGTAAACTGCAGTGCACCAAAGCAAGTAAATGGGTGCAAATGAAAGCTGACTGTTCTTAACTTGCAAAATGTGTGCACTCTGCATGAGATGTCAAAAGGAAAAACGAAATCTTATTTTCAGAAAGCATTTCTGTTTTATTTGTTTGACACTTTGCTTATAAAGTCAATACAGGCAAATACTTGGATGTGGAACTGATAAGCAGGTCGCATGAAATACTTAAAATGTGATGTGAGTAGAGGCCTTTCTTGCAGACTGACTAAAGAACAAAAGCCTGAACTATAGATTTAGTCACTATAAATCAATGTACGGTTACCAAACGATAGACACACATATACACTGGATCGTCATTCTCTCCCCACCTTTAAGTCTTCACCTAAAAAAGAAAAGGGAACAGTGAACCTTATTTGGCTTAATTACTGTCTCTTCATCTCTGGCATGAACAGTCTTATCCTCTCCCATGTGTTCTCATTCATCTCCAGCTGTCTATGATCTGTTCTCCCTCTGTCAGATAAGGGAGGATCCCTACAGTCAAAGGCCCTGCTCTCCCTTTTCCTGGTGACTGCAAGCCTGCATAAATCACACAGATGCTAAAAACCTAAACCCTGGATCCACATATTATTTGTTTTGCTGCCATCTAACATCAAAGATCCTCCTCAGTCATTGGCATTACGGCAAATGAATATCTTTTGTGATGTACACTGTGTATTCCATGCACAGTTTGGAGTTTAGTACCTTATTTTAACATAATTGTGTTGTTGGCACATGGTTGTTAACACCACAATTTCTTTTTTCAGACATAATATATTTCCTCCTCTACTTCCTGTCTGTGCCCACCAGTTTGTTTATGTGCGTGTCTGCTGCCTCTGCGTTAGGCCCATTTATTGTCTCGCTATTTCAACACAAAATCCTCACAGAGATTACACAGACACTGCTTATACACACACCCACAACTACAGAGGAAATTGCTCATCTTCTTCTCTTCCTTTGATGCTCTCAGACGGGATTGAGTTGATGGATTCCTGTATTATTTATTGTATGTAATATCTATGTGTGTGTGTGTGTGTGTGTGTGTGTGTGTGTGTGGAAGCAGGTCAGGGATAGGCCATTATTTATTTTCCTTATCTTAAAACTTTTCTCACTGATTTGGTGCTGGCAGATGGAAAATCGGCAGTACAGGTCTGAGACATAAGTTGTTTCTTATGATCCAGTATTGTTAAGGTAGGTGGACAGTGGCACAAAGGTATATGTTCTTATGTATTTTGTTTCAATTTTAAATCCAGATTGGCTTCATTAAGAGGGCTATTAACTACCCAAACGTCTAATCTCATTGATCAGTTCTCATACAAGTAACACACAAGTAGAACAAACAGGAATTCTACCATCTATCCCCCCCACCCAGTATTCTCCCTTTTTACCCGCAGACCTTGCAGGTGTTGCTGTAATGTTACCCCCCCCCCTCGTCTGCCCCCTGCAGACCGTCTGTCCTCTCTGTCACCCTGAGAAAACAGACAACACTGCAGGGTCATAAACTTCAGCTGGTCTTGTTTTGCCACAGGGACCCACACACACACACACACACACCAGCACCACCACCACCACCTTACACACCCATCTCTATATGTACTCTAAAGACTGGAACAGGGGTCTTCAGCTACTCCAGTGCCCAAAATAATGCTGGTTTTTATGTGAACCAGCTAATTTTACAGGTGTGTACCTTTATAATGAGGGAAATAGATTTATTACAAATACACTGTGGCTCCTCTAAAGACAGAAATAATCACAGAAGTTGAGTGAAGCAAAGCTCATTTGCACTGAGAATTATAATCCATTATTATAATAACTGTGCTAACATGATCACCACAACTTTATAGGTTAACATTATGTCACTGCTGTGTTTGCAGTTTTTTCTAGTGCTGTCCCCAAGAGGCCAAAAAAAAAAAAAATATAGAAAAACTATGTTTGCTTTACAGTGTGTGGGATTTAGTGTCATCCAGTACTGCAGATTGCAACCATTTGAATACAGCTCAGCCTTCAAAGTGTGTAGGAGAAACTCAGGAAAAAAGTGAAAGGCCTTCTAAGTCAAGATCAAATCAATCACTGGTCTACTGTAAATGGAACTATTCTGCTGACACAAACACAGAGCCTGTGGGGTTTTATTTGGCCAATAAAATGATCAGTTTCAGAGCAGTCTGTTTGAAATGTTTGTAAACCAACATGTGGACATTTATTCCAATATTGTACAAAGAAGGACATTAACAATGAGAGAAACTCTACGTTAACTTAGAAATTAATATGGCATTATTAAACAATTTGCTGCTTTTACTTTGGAGGCAAATACTTTAATACCAGTAGCTCACATCTTAAGACAAAAATCCAACTTAACATGTGTCCATAGCAGCTTTGTTCTCTGTCTGTCTGCCTGTCTGTCTGTCTGTCTCTCTCTCTTTCTCTCTCTGTCTCCCGCACACACACACGCACACACACACGCACACACACACACACACACACACACACACACACACACACACACACACACACACACACACACAGAACATGAACAAACCATTAATGTGAAAGTAAGCCAGACTCGGTGGTGATTTAGGAGTAGCAGACAGTGGAAGGGTAGAGGCCAAGCTCTGGGTCTCATACTATCTCCTTCCATTCACCAGCCCATAAATAACACACACAGCCTCACGCTGACACAAGAAAAGCTGCAGTTTGAGGTGAAGGACGCAGGGAGAAAGAGGGAAAGGAGACAGTGTCGTTTGATTAACAGAGAGAAAGAGCAAGAGAACAGAGAGATGAGAGAATGAAGACAGGTGTGGGAAAAGACAGAAATACAGACGTCCTGCTGGTTACAGTTCTGGGTCGAATACTGTTTTCTTGTTGGAAAACAGCTTGATCAACCAGGACTGGGAGCAACGAGACATGGAGAAAAGTCCCAGAAGCATAGTACATTTACTCATGTAGTACTTAAGTACAAATTACTTTAGTATTTTTTCTTGCCACTTTATACTTGGCAGCTTTAGTTAATAGATACTTAACAAAATAAGCAAGTACAAGACAGATTCACAAATGTGAGGATTTGCTCCTGTTCTTTTTTTATTATTTAATTTATTTGAGTCTATTTTTATTCAATTTGAGGTTTGGTGACAAACATTGTGCAGGTGTAACTTTGGGCTCTGGGTAATTGTGACCGGTGTGTAACATTTAGGATATTATTATTATACTTTATATATTATATATTTTAGAATAATATTCATATGTATGTTTTTATTACCTTAGAATGAACCATTTTAATCTACTGACGCTGGGGGTTGCCTTCCATGGAGTCTGACATGTTGAACTGTTTCTACAGTACCCCAGAGGGGACAAACCAAACACCAGCACTAGATAGGGGCGGCCACTGTTTCTCCTTTGCGCTTGGAAGGGTAGGGTGAAGCGAGAGACTTACAATACGCCGCAAGATGCCACAAAATGCTACACAATGGACCATTAATCAGTGGAGAAAATAATCAGCACATTAATCCATAATGAAAATATTCATTAGTTGCAGTCATAACAAATTAGTTAATAGTGAGTATATATATATAATATCTAATGATATAATATATCAAAGTATAACAGCTGGGGGCTTTCTTCTGCCTTGAGTACTTCTACTTTTAATATTTTAGGTACAGTTCCCTGATTACACACTTTTACCCGAGTAACATTTTGAATGCACTCTAACTTGTAACAGTAAGAGTATTTCACACCATACCATGGTATTCGTCATGGTATTGGATTTCTTCAGAATCGCTTACCCTGCTTTTAAGTAATGGATCTGAGTACTTCTTCCACCACTGGATACTAACCAGTTTGATGCTCCACTGTCAATGAGTTCAACAGGAAGCAGCCAAAAGATTTGTCTATAGGTGTAACAACTTAAGAGCATGGATTCCCTTCCTTGATCCAAAAATAGTCGCCTGAGCAGCCTCATCAAATGTCTTCCTCCCAGTCTGTTATGCTGTTGACATCTATGAACACTGCTGTTTTTCTTCTCTTTACATTTTGTCAAATTCCTCTTAACCACAAGGACCCCTGGCGTTCAGGTTCTCACGATCCCTGTCAGAGATTCACTCTGTGGGCTGTGAGAACCACCAGCGGCCCCGGCTGCTCGAGGCCTCATGCCGCGGTCCGCTCCCTCGACGCACGCACACAGACACAAACAAAAACACACACAAACATGTCACAAGTCGACGTATGTTGTATATACACAGAATCAAACAAGCGTACATAATGGCACACACGGCCTCTTCCTCCAGCTTTCTCTCTAACGTCTTCTCTCCTCTCTTAAAACAAACACAGCTGCTGAAGCTGCTC